CCCCCCCCCCCCCCCCCCCCCCCCCCCCCCCATCCCCCATCCTTCCTGTAATCTTGCTCCTACTCATTCATTCCAATAAGTTTTTTTTTTTTTTCCCCTTCTCCCTCCTTGCCTTTTACATAAGTCCCATAATGGCTTTGTTGATGGGACAGAACAGACAGCACTTTATTTACATAGATTATTTCTCAGCTAATGTTCCTCATCGTTCTGAAAAGGCTTCCTCTGAAACAATTGTGACTCATGAAATGACACAGTCATTCCTCATGTGGGCTCCGTGCAGCGTACCTTTTATGAAGGTATTGGCAAATTACTTCCAGAGAGGAAAGTTCAGACTTTCAATACTGTCATATATTTTGCTGCCGTGTGTGTGTGTGTGTGTGTGTGTGTGTGTGTGTGTGTGTGTGTGTGTGTGTGTGTGTGTGTGTGTGTGTGTGTGTGTTCAGCTTTAAAGAACACCTAACTCACGAATCGTCAGATATTGGACTTTTTCTTTCCTCTTGAAATTAAAGGTTTTAAAGTGAGAAAGCATATTCCCCAAAATGTCAAACTATTTCTTTGATTTAAATCCAATGGATCTAAAAGATAAAATACAATATATTACCAATTGATTGCTATTATTACTCTCTTACTCTTATAATTAAGTCATATAATTGACACATGAAATCACTATGGGGTTTAAATAACTAAGGACCATCTCTATTGCCTGTGGATGCTGTACATTGACAATACTTCTGCTGTTAAGTAACACTACTCTGACTGTTTTTGTTTCAGCTCGACAGGTTGGTCCAGACAGCACATGCAGAGAAAAGCTGCAGAAGATGATCATACTGTACACCAAAGTTGTGAGTTGACTTGTGTATCTAATTATATAGCAATGAATCGCCGTCTGTATGTCTTTATGTGGGTTTATGTCCCGTTAGCACTGGTAGCTAGTAGCCGTCACTATGTTGAGAGCTGTGTGTGGAGGCAATCCCGGCCGTCACTGACGGAATCATAGATATGCTCTGAATTATTTTTGTAGCTCATTAATAGTACAAGTATAAATACCACAGTACCACGTAGTAACAGTCCTGCGTTGTAATTTTTATATCAAGTGAAGGGGGAAAGAGGCATCATCAGTACACAACGTACCTCATGTCTGTTTGCATCAAGGACGTTACGGACCGATTACAGTGTTTAACAAATGTTCCTCTTCCTCCTCTCCCCTTCTCTATGTTCGTCCTCTGTGTAGTTGCTAGACTTCCTGGAGTACCATGCATGTGCGTTCATACCCCTAATCCAGCGCTCCCTGGAATTTGCCGTCAGCTACCTGTTCACGCCGGCGGGGGAAGGAGTGACCTTCGAACGCTTCATTGTTCAGTGCATGAACCTCATCAAGATGATTGTAAAGAACGATGCCTACAAACCTTCCAAGAACATCGATGGTAGGTCATGTGGGCCGTGGGGAAGAGGAGCAGGAGGGGGGATGAAGGATGAATGGAGCGACAACACAAGGGAGTAAACTACATGGTGGGCAAGTGATGAAAGCTGCATATTTGAATGAGAAGAAGTGAAAGTCAGACAATCGTCATCAGAAAGACACACTAGCTCTTCAAAGCAGATCACTGACGGTGTTTTGAAAAACACTACGCTGTAATTCCATCATTGGTACCTCACCACGGCTCATGCTTATTTCAAGCAGACAGAGGCCTCCAGTGCCTCATTAGCCATGGAGCACAGCACTCTGTTTTTGTTCTGCCAGCTCGTACGGTCTTTGGTGTGCCTGCATTGAAGCTCTTTCTCCTAAGCAATCGTTAGTCGACAGAGAGCAGAGCCACGTTTTTTAGGGTTCCTGTGCTAATGCTTTGGTGCCATTCGAAGGTTCGAGTGTGCCGTGGCGGCTGAGTTAAGTTGGACTTCAGGTTACCGTTCCCTTTCATATTTTCCTATAACAGGAAAACAAAGTATTTTGAGGAGCAGTAGTAGATGGAGCTAAAGGGAAAGTTGAGCCTTGACTGACTGAGCTCAGAGCAGCCATCTGACTTATTCATTAGGCCCGTGCTGTCAGTCAGGTGGACTGACAGGAGGACCCGTGTGTGTCTGAGAGCATTCGGACAGGATGCTCAATACTGTGTGAAGAGCAGTGACGTGGAGGTCAGGGGCCACAGGTAAAGTGGAGGTTTGAAAGTTTAACAGAATGCAATCTGTTGGTTTGGGTCTGGAAGTAAAGTCAAATGTCTTGTTGGCTTTATATCGGCATTTTTTCCTCTTAAGATGCTGAATAAATTTTGACTGTTGAAATTAAAATTCTTTACCCACTTTTTTTTAATTGAAAGTAAAAATGAGCAACAGAGGCGAAAGTAATTTTATTGCAAATTATAATAAAATGTATCATTTTAAAGTTAGCATGTAGACTGCAGAAGATTAATCAACTGCTCTTTTTTACTATTTTAATCACCCATTCCCAACAGGCTTTGGCCTGAAATAAAGACTTTTGAGTATGCAGCGTGCTTTTGTAATTAGATATCATATATATTAAGAGTACTTTGTAACGATTATTTCGTTAATGCTGTAAATTCCATCAGAAATCGGATTCAAACCTCTGAAGTAGACTCTGTAGCTCGGTAGACTTCTTGTTTGAGAGATAATAAAATATATTTCTTGCCTAATTTTTTCTCTTTTCCCCTCTTTTTCTTTCCCTCCTCTCCTCTCCTCGCACCCTTCCGCCCTCAGACAGTAAACCAGAGAGTCTGGAAGCTCACAAGATCAAGACGGCATTCTTCACACACCCCACGCTGACAGAGATTGGACGCCGGCTCGTCTCACACTACTTCCTTCTCACAGAGGAAGAGCTGGCAATGTGGGAAGAGGACCCTGAGAGCTTTGGTAATAGCACATCCCCAGACACGCAGGCTGTGAATCCAAATGTGCAGACTTATCTGGGCCTGCAGACCGGCAGAGTTAACAGGCATGTGCTTTGGAAGTCCAGAATAGCGAGTGTTGGCCAATTCTAGAATCCGTGTAGTCAGCAATGTCGCCCTGGATACAGGCTTTACCCTACTGTATTGTGTAGTGGTGATGCTGTATTCATGCATTGAGGTTAGAGGTGCTGAACATATAAATAATAGCCTTAACAGTGATTTCTTGAATTGTGACTTGTTTGGTTTTCATACAACTTTCACCCAACATTATGGGCCTTTCACTCGGAAAGCTGAAAATCATTATTTTCAATGGCTTGTGAGGCACCATGGCGGCTTTCCGCTGCAAAGTTCAACCTCCAGGTGTTTCTGCTGCGCAGCCTCAGCTATAATCTATGGACCAACATTTCCTAAAAGATAACAATTTGTCATCTCGGAGTAAAGTTTTAGACACACACCCTTGTGATTATGCTCTACATGGGACACCAGCCCTCACACCTCTTCTCTTCTTCTAGCTGTTGAAGAAACAGGTGGTGACTCTTGGAAATACAGTCTACGGGTACGTAAACACGCATGCACAATACAAAATGATATTAGTAACCTGATAAGAGAGGGGAACAAGAACTCAGACAGAGGTCCTCCATGTTTTTTAGTACTGTTGTTTTTGTAAGTGCCAAATGATGATGGTTGTGCACGCAGTCCTCAACCCTTCGCACAAAAGAGAATTACAGCAGCATGTCCTCTCTGGTACCACTTCCTTGACAGCATCTACGAACTGTGAGAAGAGGAATGTTGTTTAAAATACACCTAATATGTCTCCTGTGTTTCAACCAAAATGTCTAGTTTGCCAAGATTAAAGTTACAATTTTGCAAGAAAAAAAACAGTCACCCTTCCAACCATAAACCTGTAACTGAAAGAACCATAACAGCAGAAGATATTGGAATTGCGATAATACAACAGTTTTTCTCAAGTGTTTTCTTTAGTGTGCTATATTTTTTCAACATTAAAAGTATTTTATGTGGTGGCACAGAGCAGGTTGTACACGTCATAAAACAGCTGGTGGTCCACCGGGCTTTCGATCCGTTCTGTCTTGTTCGTTGGCAGTGACTCGTCTTCGGCTTCATGACGTAATCTCTGATTCAAGTCCTATTATTTTCTGTCTACCCCTCATTTCTCTCCCCTTCTCTCTTCGTGTTGAGCCCCATCTATCCACTTTCAACAGTAAGATGGCAAACATTGTTTTGAGTACAGTAGAGCATTAAATCATTCAAAGCACACTTCAGCAGCAAATGCATGGTGCCATTAGTCTTTCACAGCTCGTTAGTTGATCAATTACTTCAGTTAGAATTCTCAATAGAAGACACTGAACTGTTTTTAAAAAACTTTTCTTGCATCAGCTTTTTATTGGTCAGTGTTGGCTGATAAACAATTTTAAAGCTAGAAACACCAGCAGCACACAGCACACTCGCACACACTTTAAGTACTTAGTTCAGACTATGCATGTAATTAGTAACGTAGAATTGATCACATTCCCAAAAGCTCGACGTTTGCAAAGAGACACGTCAACGTCTCTGCAGATCCACACAAAGAAGGGCTAACTGGTTGCCGAGGCTAATTTACATTTATATTTTGTCCGAACATCATGGCCGCCCTCTTTTGACCTTTGTGTTGGCGCATTGCGGTGCTCAGGATGGTTCATTGATCAAATGTCACTATCCATCTATTCCTTCCATAGTCACCAGCCCTAATGGCTGATTATAGATGTCCTTCCTCTGGCCATATCACCTATGGACTATGTCTATGTCTATATAAGGGTTTGTCTTAAACCTGTTGGAGGCTGGAGCCTTTTAGAAGTGTCATCTGACCCACTGCCACCCGGGTGGAAAGGTCAAACCTACAGTACATACTGTGAGATGTCCCGTACACATCCACTGTAGAGCACGCAGCATGTATTAATAGGTTGGCTCAGCCCATGTTGTCAGATTTCTTGCAGCTTTATTTGATATGGATTTTCTGGTGATGTCTAAAACCAATAAACTGCTTGAAGGCGGGGAGAAAACCGTTTCTCTCTTTGAGCGCACACAAACAAAAATCCCCTTCACATTGACTTTTTATTGAACCGGGAGCTCGAGGCAGTGTTTGCCTTTGTTTGTCTGTGTTTGTGCATGAGCCTCTTTGTATAAAATGTCCTTTGTGTATATAGATGGTGTGCACTGACATCCCTTGTTCACCACCACCAAGTGCCCAACCGAACTAAAGCAGGCCACTCAGAATGAGGAGAGTTGGGAGAAAATACTAAATGGACGCTTGTGATGACTTCCGCATACAGTGTACCACCAGTTCTGCTGATTAACCATCCCCTCTGCTCTTTCCTCTCTCCAGCCGTCTGCAGAAGTATTGTTCCTGGATATCTTCCACAACTACAACCAGACACTGATACCGGTGCTGCTGGACATGGTTCAGAACCTCCAGGGTCAGTTAAATGTCAATTTCAAATATTATTTCTTGCCAAAAGCAAAGTCTGCTGTCTTTTCTGAAAAAACCTCCAAATGTGAGGAAAACGTGTATTCATTGCCAGTTTATTAGGTACACCGAGCTAAAACTATTGCTTTTAAATGCCCTGCGTTAAATCTTACCTTTTATAAAGTTCAGTTTATGTTACATCTGTGTAGATTCAATGATGTGGTGGTTTTGGAGGCTGTTTGGTGCTGTTGGATTTTATTGTGTTGAACCGAGTGGTCTTTTAAATTCTTGTCCACCCCAATGACATCATTAAAATGTTTTTTCAATCTATTCGTCACATTTTAATATTTAATTAATTTCAGTGTCGTCTCAATGCATTATTCAGAATATGCAAAGTGCTGTAAATGGCCTTGAAAGATGCTATACAGATATACCTGCCTTGCACTGCACACATGCTATGCCTCAGTTTCCCTGTAATATGTCCGACTCCATTCCCCTCACAGAATATAGCCTTGCCTCAGAAAAGTGATACATATTTCATGCATCACAAAACGGTAAAGGGCGAATCTTTGTTCAAGTTGCTTTTAGCAGTCCCAGTATGAATAGCATTCAAGCAATAGGCTTGACAGCACCTTCAAGATCCCTGTTGACAACCCTGCACCATTAAAACCACTCACAGTTCTTTAGTCAGTCACACACACACACACACACGCACGCGCACGCGCACACACAAACTGCCCCTGGTCCCCTGGTGGCACTGGCATGTAGTTCTTGTTCTGTTGCTAAATTAGGCGCCGAAGTGACAGATTGGAAATGGGCTCTGCTGGAGCAAGGAAGGCGGCAGATTGGTGTAATTCTGTGGTTGAAGGGAGGCAGCTATTGATTTTCGAGAACTGAGTATACAACAAGGACTAATGGAGAGCGAGGGAACAGACCAGTGAAGTGATTGAGACTGATATGAAGTGCAGGCCGTTTTAAGTTGCATCTGTGTTATGATGTGGTCATTGGGTCCATCAAATCATACAGATCGTTACCATTTACAAACATTTGGGCTGCATGCACGTTACGATAATCCATAAAGTAACCCAGATTATGTGTCCGTCTTTGCAGGCCCAACCAATGTGGACGACTCGGCTCAGCTGCTGATGAAGGATTCCGGTGAGTCGAAGCATTCCGGGTGTATTTAATGGCTGATTTGGACTCATAAGAAGAGTCTGATTCTGCTAAAATTACTATTTTATCTGAAACACCAAATGTGAATGTTATTAAAATTCTCCAACCACCATCCCAAACAATTTTAAACAACAAATGGAGATGATTAAATTGAGATTTGAATAAAGAGAGCCACGGGACGCATACCAATCATTTCAGACTAAGATATAAAGTCTGAATCACGTACCAATTCTTTTTCCTTTTTTGGTTGTATTTTCATAATGTAATCCATTCTTGCTATACTGCTTTCTATCATGACCGTGGACATCTTGTTTCCCCCTCCCTTTCCTCTGTCTCACACCCTCTCTGCTTCCTGTTAGTATTTATAACTCGGTGGCAGGTCAGGGCTGCCTCTCTGGTGGTTTTATGGCATACGCAACTAAATCACGGGCAGTTGGGATTGCCCGCTATTGGGGCCTCTGTTAAAGCCGGATGTGTTGATGAACCTGCAGACGTCACTGGATGATGAAGCTGTGCTGTGGCAGCAGCAGTGATATATAATTCTGACTGAGAGCTAAAGCTGGTTGAAGCGCCAGAGTGCCACTTAATAACAGCAGGTGCTGATTTGTTAATTAGTCAATAATTATAATGGTGCTAGTTCACTTACAGACTAGGACCTTAATTATTCTGCTGTAAATGGCGGGTTCAGCCGAACGTAGAACTGAGCGTACTTCAATGAGCTGAAGACCGTAACAACCACAGTAAGCCAACCTATATATGCTGTAAAGACATTTGTCATATATAATAGACAGTGCTACGCGACGGCCATATTTGCTAAAAGACTAAAACAAGACAACCTGCTTTTTATACCCTTTTTATAGATGACAAATGCTGCTAACTGGCGTTCAACCAAGGATAAACATCCATGAGGTGTTTACATATTTTTTGTATCTCTGGTATTTGTCCCACATTTGTCATTTTAATGCTGCACTGACAGCAGAACTAACTTCCTCTTTCTAAGATATTGAACATTAGAACGAAGTAAGTATATTTCAGTCTGAGAGGTCCTTTTGGACGACTACAAACGAAAGCGTAGGAACATCTCATTTGGAGGAGCCAGAATATTATAGGATATTTTCTCCTCTCTTCCCCTCCTCTCAGAATTCATTACTTTTAAAGATGAAATAAAAATAGTAACAGGAAGCATCTCTTCCACTTGTATGGCCTCTGTCCCTTTATCTGTCTATCTTATTGTTCTCGTACTGTCATCTGTTTTCTGATCTCATCTTTTATTTTTCTCCATGGCCTCTACATTTACTGTTACATCTACACGCACACAGATACAAATGCACACAAAGCACGTCATGGACCTTTACCTCATTTTACAGTCTCACACGCACATAATCTATAATGTGTAACCATCATTATAATGTAGAAATGTATGCATGGTATCATAATTGATGGCTGAACTGTATAGAAGTAGCCCCGAGGTAACAGGAGCCTATCGGGGTCTCTGGGGTGGACTGCCGTGTTTGCACGATGAGACCTGATGGTTCACCCTCATTCAAACGAAGGCTTTTGAATGACACGGCAACTCCTTTTTACTCTATAAGGCTCAATTTAAACACCTTTCATGGCTTACACTTTATATTTGCCGCCTTCATCCCTTTCCTATCATTTAAACTCTGTTCAGCTCCATGTGCCGTACATGAAGCAATACAGTCCAACATTCGGCTATTTGATCAATGCAATGTTTTAGCTCTTGGCATCAAGCATTGCAGTTCAGTGTCAGCTTTTCAGCGACCAACAATCCTACAGCAATTTTCTTTTTTTTTTTTTTAATTGCATTTTTGCAGTTGAACCCACATAAAACGATCACATTTTAAATATTGAAATGAGACCTTTCAAGTGCTGCATTGTGTGCTTAAAAGCATTAGACTCAAACATGAAGGTCCTGTTGGGACAAAATGCAGAGATTTCCTTTAAGCCAATAACATGATGAATTATGTTTTAGTGTTCTGCGGCTCATTTTGGAACCATAAGCCATCTTTTTTTTTAACAGTTATTGTACATCTTTTTTTAATCTCTCCCTCATCTGCTCATATTCTGTTTGTTTACTGCACTTTTTAGAAGTTCAGTGCTACTGTGGATACTGTGACTAAATGATAGTAATGCTGTGACTCTTGTTGTGGTTGTTTTGTCCTCAGTATACAACGCAGTGGGGCTGGCAGCTTATGAGCTCTTTGACAACGTCGACTTTGACCAGTGGTTCAAGAATCAGCTTCTTGGGGAGCTGCAAGTCGGCCATCACAGGTAGCGTGTTAGCATTTCTTCTGAAACGTTCACACATTTTGATTTTAAATGGACTTGCATAGCGCCTTTCTAGTCATCCGACCACTCAAAGCGATTTACGCTTCATGTCAACATTCGCCCATTCGTACACACAACAATACACGGATGGCATTGACTGCCATACAAGGTGCCAAACTGCTCATCAGGACACACACTCGCACACCGATGGCACCGTCATCTGGGCCAATTTGGGGTTCAGTATGTTGCCCAAGGGCACTTCAACATGCGGACTGGAGGAGCCGGCATTCGATCATCGATTAGTTCCTCCACCTGAGCCTTAGCCGCCCCTCAGCATCTTTCATTTCATTTCCTATCATGATATTTTATCTTCACAAACTAAGGAATCATAAAACTTTTACTCAAAATCAGATACCAGCTCGAGGTGGGACAGACACGGACCGAATACGCTTCTAAAGCTTTTTAATATTGTTTTTCATGCCAAGACTGTCACGTTGTAAATAATAACCTCATCTGAGTCTCAACAAAAATGTAATGTGATAGCCTTCCCTCAGGAAGGTTTGTATTGTAAGGTTATTGATTTGAGTTGAACTGTTCAGGTGTTCTTTATTTCCTGTGGCCACTTGGTATGCGGTATGAATTTTAAACGCATCGTCCTTAGGAAGGTGATGACTCTTTAGTGCATCGCATTTTGCCTTACTAATGTTATTGAGGCAATACTGGTGAGACCTGAGCCAGCCAGGCAGTTCTTTTTTAAACGGCTGTTTGCAGCACAGTCAATGCATGCCAAAAGGCTCGTAAGTAGCCCACTGATGCTTGGAGTCGATGTCCGTTATGGTCACATTAACAACTGCTGCTTATACTTAACCAATCACTCCAGCAGCAGTCAAACGTACGTAGTGCCGACGTATCAGCATCAGCATCATAACGGGCTAATTAAATGTAAAGAACTGTAGTACAAAGTCTACAAACCTCATCACGGGTGTAAAGACAGTCGGGTCAGTAAGAATAAAGAGTGAGCTGATGGATGACCGCGTCTCAAAATGATGGGAAAGAGGGAGAGTTGCCAGAGTTGGAGGTGTTGACAGCGATATGGAGAACAAAGAAGTGCCCTGCTCACGCATACGCCAAGATGATCAAAACAAAAAGCCCAGCAGCACTCTAAAGGTTGGCCACTCGGGTTACTGCTGACGTCAGCGCGGCTCTACTCTCACACAGTGCAGGTGCGAATATCGCCTCCATTTTGTACCTGGTTCCTTTTGGCTTTGGCCTTTTTCAAGTTCGCTTCACCTCCAAACTCATGTTTTCCTCTTTGATATTTGAAAATGTTGATATAGTTGATTTTATGTGTTTGAACAAACTGAGCTTATCGAGTCACCGTGACTAGGAATGTGTCAGTAAGGCCTCCACTTAAAGTACAGAAATAAAACCAAAGGAGCAAACGGCACAAACACCCCTCTGTTGCTTTCTCTACACACACGTGCATTTATTTATTCTGCTCCCCCAATAACAAACGGAAATGAATAGAGAACTTAACAAATGGACAGTGGAGCAATACTCACAATAAAAACAAAGACTCAAGATCCTATTTTTCCTGCAATTTCTCTTCTTCTGCTGTTGCTCAAAAATTGCAAATTCACAGATTTTGTATTAATTCTAATTCCATAGCTTGTTAACTAGCAAAGCAGTGTAAACATGGAAGCACAGTCCTGAAGATGTCTTCCCACTAAAGAGCCTACTGTCAAAAGTGATCACAAATGTAGTTGTGTAGTTATAATGCACTTGCTGTGTTGATGGCAGTAGGGGGATGCCATCAGATGCAACAGTCTGGCTCCAGGCAGCCAGTGGCTAAACAGTTAATAGATTTTTTTGCAAGATAAACACATTGTTGGCTTTAGTCTCCCCATTGAAATTCATTAAAAGATAACTCAATCCTTATCCATTAACTGCCAAATAATGTATTTTAAAACAACAGAGAGGTCCTTGTGTGATAAGCTATTGCTTGGTGCTAAGAGGATTGTCTTTAGGTTGGTTGTATAAATGACAGGAGATAAACTTTTCAACTCCCATTGATTGCTCTGCTGTGGGCTGATGAATCAGGCCGCGTTTCTCATACAGACCCGAGATGTTCAGTCTTTTCAAGAGGCCTCTGCAGTGGGAATGTAGATTGAGCATGGCTTATTATTCAGTGTTGGAGATGAGTGCAGTTTCTTTATTCCGTGGCAATCGGAGGCTTGTGTTTTTATGTATGCGTGTGTGTGTGTGTAGGCATACATATGTTCGCCTTTTGCACGCCTGTCATCACGCTGTCAGTATGTCATCGTCTTTAACATCCTGTCACGATTCAATTTCTCATTCTCAACTCCCAGTGGAATGCCTTAGTCACAAGAATATACTTCTTCAGACATTTGACCCCAAATTATGATCCCTACTGGTCAGATATATGATGCCGTAAAGAATTCTGACATCACTCGATCAATGTCCATAAAGGGAACCCAATCATGCAGAGAATAAACTGAAGGAGATCATCAGCGGGGATTTATGTGTTGCTGTTATTGATCTCGACACAGCTCAAGTGTCTGTGTGTAAAAGGCACGTTTACCCAGTAAACAAATTAACCAGCGAGCTCCCATCCAGCCCAACCCGTCGTCCAGCCTGGTTCCTCACAAACGCCATGTTTCCAGCCCATATGCTGCAATCCATTCACATACAAACTAAAACCATTTGTAGGCTCTGCAGCTCTATTTGATTTGTTGGGAAACTGAACTACACATATATGTATATACGGTGTATTCACCTTGTGACCACAGCGTTACAAATCCCTGTTCCATTCTACGATGGAAAGATCAGTCCCAGTTTGTGGCAGTGACTCACCATAGGTCCTATATAGTCCTTTGTGTCCAAGCTGACCATGCAGACATCACTGCTTTAGGTTTATATGTGGAGTCTTTTTTAAAATTATTTTTACTGATGCTGCTTTCAAGTTCATTCCAAAGGTGTTCTGGTGGATTGCTATCAGGGATTTGTGGGTATCAGGCCTTTTAAGTGTTATATTGTAGACTTGTGATGGCCTGTGCCAGCTGACTTATCCCTATTTTGAAGTGTTTTGTGCTCTGGTACATTCAGGGAAATGTCACAATGTGCAGTCTTCAAATCGTCTTTCCTGGCACAAAAACGATAATCCTCTTTTTACAATTTTTTTCTGTATGTTCGATAACGTTTTAAATTCCAAATGAAATCACATTTACTCGTCCCTTTTTGAGTCAATGCATTGCATTTTTTTTTAAATGCGTTTTTTCTTTTTTTTTATTATTTAAAGGAGGAAAAAGGGTCTTTGGGGGAGAAAGTCTAAAATGCTCCTTTATTTGTCAGCTGGCTGTAGGGGCGTGTCTACGTTTGATTGACAGCTGCTGTCAGAGTGTGACACCGGCACCTGACCAGACCAAAGTTTGTAGGTAAACATGCTGTTTAATACGCTGTTAGCAGAGCACTTTTTCCCAGATGAATGTATTGTATTCATGTTTGTGAGTCGTATAAAAAGGAGACTTAAGCACTTGCGCGTTATTGTGAAACCAAAAATATGTACAAAAGAAAATTCCCTTAAAGTGTGTATTTTTTTCCTCAAAGGAGAACAGAGGACGATTGATCTACAGAGCAGATATGTATGCTGCCGCACATGTGTGTTAAAAAAACAATGTAGTTGCCGTTGCATGTACCTATTATTATGCAACATATACTGTATGCAAATAGCTCTGGCCCACACATTTTTGCGCAGGCAGGGATTATTATTGTGTACAAACACAAGCGGTCAACGGAGCAAATTAAAGTCTTTCTCGATGGTCAGTTTTGGCTTCCTCGCATAATAACAACTTTATTATAATGACTTTTTTTTCTAAAGCACCTTTCAAAACAGAACAAATATTATGTAACGGATAAAATAATTAAGAAAAAGCCGAACCGTAAAAAGTGAGCTCAGGTTAGTGATTCCGGAGCTCACTGCAATCCGGCTGTAGACCGAGTCAACCCACGTGACCGGTCCTGAAACACGGGCCCCTGTCTCGTTTACCATGCTCTGTGGGTGGGACTTTTTATTTTTGCCGTGTCATCACCATTCATTTCCATACAAGCAATGTGTTAATGTGATTAAATTGCTCATTAGGGCAACGAATTGTTAAAGTGCACCAGGTTGATGCATACGGCTCTAAAACGTAGGCTACAAAATGTTCTTTCTAAGTGCACCATGTTTCCAAAGTCACTGAGTAAATAATCGTACAATAATAAAATGATAGTTTTCTTATATCTAATGTGGCCCACAAGTCCCCTAAAGGCGAGTACAAAAGAACCGTGTGCTGGTCGGTGCACTGAACCAGACGGAGCTTTTCAGACTTGATCGGTGATTATCCAAGGGTATTTGTTTTCATTCTACCTCTGTCATCTTGTTCTTAAAGTCATGCCAGTCTGCCTTCATCTCATATAGTTCTGCAACACCGTGAAGCGTGAAGCGACGTGGCTGAAATATTTCCCCCCGACTTGGCAATATCTCCCGAGAAGCAGAAGGACAGTAATTATATTGGCATCTGCCAGAAGCCACATTCAAAGCAGATTTTCTGGCCGACACCCTCGCCTGGTGCACATTTGTCGCTGTGACCAGAGTATTCTCAGATCCCGCTGCCTCGCCCGCCGTCCTCGGCCCTCTGGGCATCGGCTGTTGGAGCGTTTAATACAGCTCCCTCGTTCAGACGTTTGATTTACATCATACAGAACAATAAAATATCTAACATTCACAACAATATGCTAAGCAAGAGAGGTACCATTTGGGGGGGGGGGGATAACTAAAAGTAAAGTTGTTAAGAGGATACCAGTGGCATTAGAGCAGCTTAATTAATGTTGTCCTCACCGTCTCTGGGGTTTGAACTGCACCCACCTGTTCTCACACCTGCAGGATTGTCTGCTGCTTGCCTCCGCTCAGCAGTCTATCTCCATCAAAAATCCTGCAATATTAGCACGGGTAGCAAATTGACTGTGTTCCCATTCGTCTTTACACGGGATAATACAGTTCTAGAGTTATTAAGATAGCAGTTTTATGATTTTCTTTTTGTAGTTTAAAATGTCTCGCAAATTGTTCCATTTTCGGCTAATAAATGACTTCACTGCACTGTGGGGATCCTGTGTTGACAGGCTGATTGATGTCCAGGTGTCCTTCGTTCTGTCCTTAAGGGTAGAGGCGGCACACTTGACTGATTTAAACGGTCTTTGATCAGTGTGATGCAGTTTAGAGTCAAGGTAAGGAGTTCTTAGCAACATCGACCCGTGCCTGCTCGGTTCCTGAATAGTAAACCTACCGTTTACAGCACGGCCACCGGGTTTGCCTTCTGAACGCGACCAAAACTACACAGAAAAATAAAGTGATAAGGAGAGGTCGCAGGTGAGTGTGTGAGATGGAAAGAGAGACGGGCCAACACAGTGTCTGTGTGAATGTCTGGAGTGTGTTAAAGAGGGAATGGGAGATAGAGGCAGTCGTGTGTGTGTGGGAGATGGAGAAAGCACTATGTCACATTGTGTCCTCTGGACACACTCTACTTAGGTGTGTGTGTGTGTGTGTGTGTGTGTGTGTGTGTCTGAATTTGAACACAATAATCAGATTTCTCTCTCAATTTCAAAACTCTAAATCCTTAGGCTCAGGAACTATTTTTAATGATGTTTAAAAGTGAGATCAGAATGAATTAAACAGGCAAATCACGCTCTGCTTCACGTCAGGTGGTTCTTAGCCTCCACGTCATCCATTACAATCATGAAGCGTACTACTTGAGTATTATTCCTAACTGTACAAGTACACGCTGTGTGTGTGTGTTTACTTATTTCCTTGCTGCTTCAGTCATCATTTCCCCTCTGCGCTCAGATAGTTTCATTGAGCCCTGCAGAAGTCTGTCTGTATCACTTGATATGAAGCAGCAACAGCCTAAATATTAATAACCATATCTGTCAGCACAACTATTGTGTGTGACTTAACACCTGTGGCTGAGCCTCAGGCCATCAGTAAGCTCCTTTTTATTAAAAAAATAAAATTGGCTCACTGACTACACAAACATCTGTGCGCACATTTAGATTTGAAATCGCTGTCAATCTTTTCCTCCTCTCTGTACCTCAACCAAAGCATTTGTCGTACCTGTGATGAGTCATCGTGTCTGAGAGCAGAGAGATGACTGCAAGTCCTTTTTTGAGCACACATACACATTTACGCATTACAAAAAAACCCACTCCTACACACCCCATTAGTATCACTCATACTGACGTCCCAGAATAGCTCGAATGAGCTTTTTGTGTCACCCAGACTGACGGCCAGATACAGTGTGCGTTCAATCATTCTACTGACTGCCAGCATAAAGGGCTTTCAAACACGCTGGCATTTTGTCATTGCCTTTTGTGGCTTGACCTTTTGTGCGGAGTTTGGTTAGAAAAGTCACTCCCTCCCCTGGGTGATCAATAGATGCTGTAAAATGACTCTGTGTGTCTTAAACTCCATTTCCCCTCATTGCTAGTATTTGCCACTGGGGATGTTTTTTTTTTTTTCTTTTTGCTGGCTTTATACTCTAAACATAATTGAGTTTGGCATGTTCACACAGGTCAGATGTGAGCAACAAGAAGCACCACATTGGGCTTTCGATGCTGCCGTGCTTTATTGGCGAGCTGAATGAACACAGCTGAGTTCGTGACCCCCCCCCCCCCAATCTTGCAGTTGTACCAGTTTCAGTATAACTGTTTACTTCTGTTCCTCTTGTATCTGCTCCCATTGCACCTCGCAAGGTCTTTCACCTGGTGTTGACACCATTAAGCGAATAGATTTCAAGTCCCAGAGAGTATACCGACATTTGCTCGCAAAAAAAAGACTACACAAAAGTGTAGACGTTTAATCCTTAGATCCTTAGAGCAGCGCTGCACCACCTCTTTTTTTATTTGCTCATGGATGTTAGCTTAGACAGTGTGTCTTCATATCCTCTGTCTGAGAACTGTTTAACTTATCCACATTCACATGACATTTAAACAGTCTTGTTACCACAGACACAAATAACCATACTATTTGTGCTAGACTGGTTTCATCACCGGCACGTGGATTTTGCAATTCCGTAATTACTGTGGTAAACACACACGTTTTGGTTTTAGCACACACCTATGCTATGTTCAAAGAACGAGCGACACAGCAACATTCTCCAAGTCCTTTTTCAATGGAAGCCGGTGACTGACATGAAGCTAACAACTGATGCCAGGCACAAATCAAAGTTTTTAGAGCACCTGTGGTGTGTTGAAGCGTCAACCAATCCTGTTTTTGTTTCACCCTGCTCCATTCTGTTCCCAGTTGCCATTTAACAACATAACTACATCAACCAGTGCTCGAGCAACAGTTCAAAGCCGACTCACCGACGGAGTAGCTGCCCACACTTTGCTGTTTTGTCGCTCGTAGTGTGAACACAGCGTTAGACTTGAATCATTTCAAGCTACTTATTTTACAACACAATGCCCTAAAAAACCTAAATACCTGCAGAGCAGAAGCGAAGGAACAATGTGTCTGCCTCTTTAAGGTTAATGTGAAACTGGGATTCTGCTTTGGATTGAGTTCGTATTTGTCCACATGGATTTCCCCCGTGTTTGCCAGGAAGATGAGTGTGTGAAGGTACGGAGGAGGAAGCAGCTTTCGTGTGAATGAGTCGTGTCTCACCTTTGACTGAGTGCCCCTGTCCACCTGCCTGTCCACCTGCCTGTCCATCTGCCTTTTTATCCTCTTCTTCCACTTTGCCAGCTGTACCGTCCCCAGCTGAAAAGAGTTTGTATTTGTTAGTCACAGACATGCACACACACTCACCACTCCATTATACTGCAGGCAGAGTTGGGAAAACTAATCCTTTAGTCACTTCAACAGATGCATTGAATGAAGGATAATCAGCATACGGATTACAATGTTGTTTGGAATAAGGCTGACTGTCGCCATTTATCAAGTCTGAACATGCTTGCCAATAGTTGTTCCCTGCGCTATGTATAAAAATAACTTTTTATTTGTTGCCTTTGAGAATACACCAAAATGCACAAGCGTCCTGTAGTAGTAATCTGTAATTAGATTTATTTATTCTCGTTGTCACTGACTTGTTATCAGAGTGTCAGTATTTAGTTGCCAAGCTGTTGTTTGGAACCTGGACATGGAGAGAGCTTTGGGAACGTGCCCATTGTCCACTGGCACTGCCGGAGCTGCTCAGTCATGTTGGAACCATCCTATGTTGCTGCCTCCATAAAAGCTTATAGAAAATCGAATGTGTCTGTCGTTGTTTTCCTATAAAAGTAATTGGATGATGGTTTATTCTCCTCGCATGGTCCGCTGCTTCTGAGCAGTTTAACCCCTGAGCGTCCAAGTGCTATCTTGTGCTTTTAAGAAGATGAGAAATCAAGTCCAAGTGGTATTCAGCTTAATGGTGTCAGTAAAGGTAATCGACAGGCCAAGGTCTAGTTCTCCAAATGCCTTTTGGCAAAGGTTTGTTTGAAAGGTATTGGGAAACCAATTAACCAAACGAAACACAAAAACATGCTTTTGTGCTTTGATTATACAAACAAACCGTTATTTTTCTTTCCTTGCACGGCCACACACACACACACACACACACACACACACACACACACACACACACACACACAGAGTTGTTTCCCATCTCCAAGTCCTGAGTCATGCTGTTGTTCCGCATCTTCTGCGGTGGCCCAGACTGGTCTCTGGTTCCCTGTGGATATTTGACAAGCATCCCCCCCCCCCCGCAACACAATCCTTTACCTTTCCTTCTCTCCTTTACTTCCACCCTCCATCAGCTCTCCTCTGTCAAGCCGATCCCCAGATACGAACAAAGGCAAATGCAGAGGGACGTTCCTTGTTTGCCCGATACAGCTGTTGAAAAACCATCAGTTCCCAAACGTGCAGTGCCCCACATTTGGGACATGCATGGTGTTTTAATTCCTATCACTCACCACTCAGCCCCAGTGGATTTTTGAGCATCCTAGTTTTTGAACTAGGCTGATTACCTTATTTAATTTTTCTGTTACAGATCGCCATTTCCACCGGGCTTTGCTGACATGCATTCATTTAAACACAAAACAAACTCAATCTTCAAAAACACTTTCTTCGCCTAGTTCTTCTTCTCTGTTTGTCCCTTCGGGACGTGTTTTGCGTCAGCTCTCTGTGTAAACTATCTCTACCTCTCTGCAGACTCTAATTTAACCCACACACACAGTTCAGTGTGAATGTGTATGCCACCATATTAGTCTTGAAATTGGATATATAGAATAAAAGGACAGCAATATGGCTCTCTCCCTCAGGGCACAAATTACACTGCAGTCTCCAACCAAAACATAAGCAACTGCTGAAAGCAATTTCTGAATGAGCCGAAAGCAATGGCCGACTTCATCATTTGAATAGCTGGCCCAGTGGTTTTTAATGGATCATAAGTACTGTAGCCACATTGTGGAGATAAAAGCAGAGAGCCAGCTGGCTCATTTCTCTAAAGTATTGCAATGCAGAGAATAATTTAGATCAAGGATTTCTCTGCAACCAGAACTAACTCCTCTTCCCTTCCTTCTTCTCCAGATACAAGTTTATTCGCCGACGAGTCATCTGGCTAATAGGACAGTGGATCTCTGTCAAGTTCAAGTCTGACCTTCGACCTTTACTCTACGAGGTCATCCTGAGCCTCATGCAGGATCCCGACTTGGTGGTAAGGCAGCTACAGGCAACCGTCGGTGTGTCTTTCTTTTTTTTTTTTAGGCAAACTGCTTATTATGGCTGGAGGAGCAGCTTCCCCCAGAAAACATTTGATTGGTAATGACTGAGTGACAGTGCACCGTCAGCGACACGAACACAGTTCTCAGCTTAACAACTTGGGATCACGGCTATTATGCTGCCGACGTTCTCCAAACAAAGTCAAACATAGTTAGTCGGGGAATGTGGAAAGGTTTTGCCATCAGATGTGTCAACATACTATTTTGTATTTTCTTTGTTCTCTTTTACGGAGACGATTTCTTTGAATAGTTTTGATTAAATAAGCTAAACTTTTTATTTACTCATTAACATTTCTATTCAGCCTTGGCCTTGATGAACTGCTGTGTGATCCTATTTGTGGAAACGTGGCTATTATTATAGCCTCGTCATCCTCCATTCAAATTGCATTTCGCCATCCTTGGGTGTCGTGCCTCATGAGCCATGCACTTGATTGATGTGTTTTCTTTTAACAGAATTTGCATGAAGGAATGTGGAAAAATCCCATGCATTATTTACAATGCAGTTCAAAATAATCTCACCATTAGATTGAACCGTTATGAGTAGCTGGGTTCAATTGCTCTGCGTCTGACTGCCTCTCTTACCTCAGAATCCATCGTTCTGAATCCATCAGAGCTTTTAGGTGCTTCTTTGGTCGCATTCCTCTTTGTTGTAATGCACATAGAATGAGATTATAATGTAATCAAGATGATTATACACATATGGCAGAGCCCACGCAAACACCGTGCTCTGATCTTATTTATGTGATGGATGGAAGCATCCTAATATTAATTAATAATAATTGTATGTCTCCAGTTATGGTATGTATGATGCATCATCCATTCTGGGTACTTTGTTTAAATTACAGATACAGGAGCACACATAGTGACACTAACGATGTATAGATGGGTCTGTAGCACCCTCATTTTCATTTCACAGCCAATTGCACTGAAATGGAGCCCGACGCCACAGGTCACATTTTATTACTTTGGCTTTATCTTAAAATGATTTGCAGGCAGCTACAGTGGAATTGAACTTGTGTATGTAGCATTATATTCAATTAGCCAGTTATCTTAGGAATTGCACATTCAGTGGCTCATTTGTAAGTTCTTCTTTATCAAACTTACATGTCACATTGGTCTCCAGTATATGATTTTAATTTTATTGCATTTAAATGTGGGCAAAAACTGTATATTCTTCGTTGGGTTTCCTTTTACCCCCCAAGTGAAGCCACACGCATATGGAGATTATTCCATAAGACCAATTATTTCCGTTACTACTGCAACCGTGGTCTTAGTTTGAGCATCTCATCAAAGAATAAAGTGACATCAATTTATTTCATCAATATATTTATTTATATTAGTGATGTTCAATTGTTAAAAAAAAAAAAAAAAAAAGGTTAAGAACAAGTCATAGACTAAACAACATAGACAACACTGTCATCATAAACAAAAAAATGGACTAACCAACATCAACATTGTCAGCATCCTCATCAAAGAATAGCACCAATATCTCTACTACTACTACTACTACAACAGAGTACAGAGTACTACTCTTACAGTTTCAATGGTCTTTCTTCACACACGCTCGCTGTTGGATCACGGACCAGCTTATCAATCCCGTCGTGGCTCCTGATCAATATTGTCTGGTTCAATTAGAACCTCCTGGGCAGAATGAATTATTGATCATCAACTTTGAATGGGCTAATGGAAAACAAACTGCCCTCTATCTATCAGTCCCATTGGTTATCTATATCTCTATTGCTCTTCAATAGCCTTCTTGTCTCTTATAATTATCTGACATTTCAGTTTCTGCCCTCAGTGAAAGCAGAAATCGACCAGAGAAACTGAAGAGTGGTAGTTTTATTGAAATGGTCAATTGACTGCGTGTGGGCGAAATGATTTTCGGTTGCGGTTTAAGTGACCTGAATCACATCATTTAATGACAAAAAGTTGTTTAAACTGTTGCCTTTGATTTCCTAAAAACGACACTTATTGAATGAGAACTCTCTTAATTAAGGATGTGCTTCTTTGTGGCAGAGAGAACTCTTAATCCCTGACTCTACGGCAGCTCGCCTGACTCTCTCTCTTGTAACTGCCCCAGCCCCATGTTTTGCACATTTATTAAAGATTAGTCTGTTCCATGAATTTATCTTAAACTAAATATCCCTAATTTAAAACATGTCATTAAAGATACTAACCGGCTGCCTCCAGAAAGATAATATCAGAGTTTGGTGCCTTAATGACGAAAGCTTGATCGCCTGGCGTCCATTTAGGGGTCTTAAACAACACTTGTGTTTGTAGGGAGTTATGAGCTGTGTAATACTACTCCTGTTCCTTAAATGTGATTAGTGGAGTCTTTAAATGAACCCGTTAGTGGCTAAACTAAATGTATTGTGCTCTTTCTTCCTGAGGAGTCTGCAGCGTTTTGTGTTAATTCAAGTCTAATGACGGTATGTTTTGCAAGGTGGAGGATGAATTGAAGGTACAATCCAGATTTTTAAATAAAAAAAATAAAAAAAGTTTCGATATGTTTTTAGAAATGGTTTAGTTTTTGGTGTTTCTTTATTTACAGTTTATTATCAAAGATACTTTTGATAAATGTAGATAAGAGGTCAACACTCCAGGAACACTTACAGGTGATTACATTTGAATACATCTCTCATCTCAATGAATTACATTATCATCGAAAAGTTAATTCATTTCATTAATTCAATGGAAGTCATATTTTATAGATTCATGACACACAGGGTGATATATTTCAAGCATTTATTTCTTTCAATTTTGATGATTGTGGCTTAATGAAAAGCCCAAATTCAGTATCTCAGAAAATTAGAATATTGTGAACAAGTTCAATATTGTAGACTCGTGGTGTCACACTCTAATCAGCTGATGAACTCAGAACACCTGCAAAGGTTTCCTGAGCCTTTAAATGGTCTCTGTCTGGCTACACAATCATGGGGAAGACTGCTGACTTGACAGTTGAGATGCACCTGTGTATGTATAGTGGGTACGGAAAGTATTCAAACCCCTTTAAATTTTTCACTCTGTTTCATTGCAGCCATTTGCTAAAATCAAAAAAGTTCATTTTATTTCTCAATAATGTACACTCAGCACCCCATCTTGACAGAAAAAAACAGAAATGTAGAAAGTTTTGCAAATTTATTAAAAAAGAAAAACTGAAATATCACATGGTCATAAGTATTCAGACCCTTTGCTCAGTATTGAGTAGAAGCACCCTTTTGAGCTAGTACAGCCATGAGTCTTCTTGGGAATGATGCAACAAGTTTTTCACACCTGGATTTGGGGATCCTCTGCCATTCTTCCTTGCAGATCCTCTCCAGTTCCGTCAGGTTGGATGGTGAACGTTGGTGGACAGCCATTTTCAGGTCTCTCCAGAGATGCTCAATTGGGTTTAGGTCAGGGCTCTGGCTGGGCCAGTCAAGAATGGTCACAGAGTTGTTCCGAAGCCACTCCTTTGTTATTTTAGCTGTGTGCTTAGGGTCATTGTCTTGTTGGAAGGTGAACCTTCGGCCCAGTCTGAGGTCCAGAGCACTCTGGAAGAGGTTTTCTTCCAGGATATCTCTGTACTTGGCCGCATTCATCTTTCCTTCAATTGCAACCAGTCGTCCTGTCCCTGCAGCTGAAAAACACCCCCATAGCATGATGCTGCCACCATCATGTTTCACTGTTGGGATTGTATTGGGCAGGTGATGAGCAGTGCCTGGTTTTCTCCACACATACCGCTTAGAATTAACGCCAAAAAGTTCAATCTTGGTCTCATCAGACCAGAGAATCTTATTTCTCATAGTCTGGGAGTCCTTCATGTGTTTTTTGGCAAACTCTATGCGGGCTTTCATATGTCTTGCACTGAGGAGAGGCTTCCGTCGGGCCACTCTGCCATAAAGCCCCGACTGGTGGAGGGCTGCAGTGATAGTTGACTTTGTGGAACTTTCTCCCATCTCCCTACTGCATCTCTGGAGCTCAGCCACAGTGATCTTTGGGTTCTTCTTTACCTCTCTCACCAAGGCTCTTCTTCCACGATTGCTCAGTTTGGCTGGACGGCCAGGTCTAGGAAGAGTTCTGGTCGTCCCAAACTTCTTCCATTTAAGGATTATGGAGGCCACTGTGCTCTTAGGAACCTTGAGTGTTGCAGAAATTCTTTTGTAACCTTGGCCAGATCTGTGCCTTGCCACAATTCTGTCTCTGAGCTCCTTGGGCAGTTCCTTCGACCTCATGATTCTCATTTGCTCTGACATGCACTGTGAGCTGTAAGGTCTTATATAGACAGGTGTGTGCCTTTCCTAATCAAGTCCAATCAGTTTAATTAAACACAGCTGGACTCCAATGAAGGAGTAGAACCATCTCAAGGAGGATCAGAAGAAATGGACAGCATGTGAGTTAAATATGAGTGTCACAGCAAAGGCTCTGAATACTTATGACCATGTGATATTTCAGTTTTTCTTTTTTAATAAATTTGCAAAACTTTCTACATTTCTGTTTTTTTCTGTCAAGATGGGGTGCTGAGTGTACATTAATGAGAAATAAAATGAACTTTTTTGATTTTAGCAAATGGCTGCAATGAAACAAAGAGTGAAAAATTTAAAGGGGTCTGAATACTTTCCGTACCCACTGTATATATGTGTGTGTGCGTGTATGTGTGTGTGTATATATATATATATATATATATATACACACAGAACCACTTTATTGTTTGGACCAATGCCTTCCGTTCTGAATGTCCCTGATTAAGGCCACAAGCCGAAACGCTTCGTGCTGAACAATACAATTGTTCTAAATACTAAAGTGTCCCTGGGGTTCTGATCTCTTCAAACTTTTCCCATCCTCCGTGCACCCTGGGAGTCGGTGAACTCGTGCCAAAAACCCTGACTCTGCTTCTGGAGAAACGCCGATAATCAGGTATTTGTGGTAACGTCGCACCCCCGTGGGAGCTTTGTATGCGAGATGGATCATTGGCATCCATCAATGACATTCATGAGCCCAATCATAGATCACAGATGCCAGTTGCTTGCAGCCTTCTATTGTGCCGGTTTTTCTATCCTCATTTCCTCCAATACATTCTCCTTTTCTTTCTTCACAGCTGTAGTCTGCTATGATTTTTTATTTTTTTTTTTTTGCTCACAGTTTCTAAGTAAAGGCAAAAAAAAAAAAAAAAAAAAAAAAAGATCTCAGCGGCAATTTTAACTCCTCCTGTTTTCGGGGCATTTGCATTCCCAGTGGGAGGCAGTAATATTTTCAAGAATTGGCTGTTAAGCCAGCTTTGACGACATCAAGCTGTGATGTTTCAGTCAACAGTTTTTCCCATTTCTGCTCACTTATCCTTGACTGCTTTGAGGCGTCCTAAATATGGAGCCCACTCTATCATGTTTTTAGTTGCTGTACGGTAAATGCACTATGCTGACTGGCATTGGTTATTATGATTAATACTAGGAGTTGTGTATTGTAATGGGCCTTTCTTAGGGTCAGAATTTGTTGATTGCTTTGTCTCTTGTCTTCGTGGTTGATGTCTATTAGGAGTCGATGAAACGTTGACCCACTCAGCTATGATAGTGCGACAGTGCCGGTTGGGACGACGTTACCAGCTCACCTGCTGTGTGAGCGGACCGGCTATGTAGACGACACGGCTCAGAATGCCGTGACTGCACTATATCTTTCCATGGCAAATAGTTTGCTGCTATATTAATGTTCTGGTTTTAGAATTTAGCACCTTTTTAATGAGTAGTTGCCAAGTTGAAGCTTTTCTTTGGCTTGTTTGGATTCAGTGAGGTGATTCAACTTCAAATCACTGTTAAATTCAGTTTGAACCTGCTGTTTGAGACTGAATAATGATGTGAGGCAGACAGTGTTTTGACTGAATTATTTTCAGACTGTGTGTGTGTGTGTGTGTGTGTGTGTGTGTGTGTGTGTGTGTGTGTTTTTAATAGATCCATTCGAGTATTTCATCAAGCAATCTATTATCGTCGACACTTTACTGTGGAATTGAAATGCAGTTTCTCTCATTAGTGTTTGAATTACCAACAAGGCCGTGTGCAGCATTACTAAAACATTATTCTGTATTTTATTATCTTTCAAACATTTTGGAAATTTGCCCATCTCTAAATCAAACTGTGTCTATTCAACTTAAAGCTATTTAGTATCTTGAATGGACATTTTACTGTTTCCTTCTCATCGTCTTATTTGGACACAGGAGGAGTGTTTTAAAGTGATTGTAAATGGAGGGCAGTTAAGCGAGTTTGTCAGTTTAAATCGAGATTATCAATGACTTGAAGGAGGCTTTCGTGTCTCTATGAATAAATTAGCAAATTTCTGCCATGCTGTTCATCTTAGAGAGAAGATAAGTTTGTCTCTGCCTTGTTGTTACCAAGCATGTTACATTTGTTGTATAAAGGAGTTACACACATTCCATATGGATTATGCAAATAGTTCATATAAATGTGTTTTTAATGACTCAATTTCATACCATATTCCATGGAAGCGTAGCCGTAGACCTTATAATTTACTCTCTAGAAGGGAAGTAAGGGCTTTTGTTGCAAGTGTAAAATATAGATGACATACGCTCATTTGCCAAAACCATGTTAAAGTTGATCACTGCAGTGTTATTGCATGTTTTGGACAGATGGCATCACATGCAGCCTCGGAGTCGTCATCCAGTTTAAAGCTTGAGATCAGTAACTTTGCCTTTATGCTACTTTGCAGCTGTGGCAGTTTGTGCGCTAAAGACGTGGAAGTCGTTTTTTTAACTTGCTACTTATTTAAATCGTTCACTTAAAAATCAGGAAACTATGCCGGCTAGTGAAGTGTGATACTAGTGAGTTTATGCTTTGGTTTGATCCACAAAATTATGAGCACGGTGCAAAATAAGTAACATCCAGAAAGCTTGACGTACCTTTTGAAGTGAATTGATTGCCGTGAAAAGTATGAAGACCAACTCCAACCACTTCAATGGAGACAGCTTGTGTGTTTATAAGAGACTAAACCACAAATACGGCTGTGTTAATGATTTATGAATTGAAAACAAATTTTCTTCCTGCAAATGTATGCTGTCTGACTTGTATGACATGCTTTGCCTGTGGGCCACTTTTGCAGCCAGTTAATAAACAAACATTGAAAATGTTTATCAGATAAAATGAATAAACTTTAAATGGTCCATAACTCATCTTTCTTGGAATTTTGTTATTTTCAAATGAATATGTGAAAGTTCAGAGCTTAACCTGAAACTCTGTTGGGGGTCTGGGGATCCTCCCCTGCAATTATTTTTTTTTTTTAAATTTAAAGCTACTACAAGGAACTTTCATCTTGTTGATTTTTGCAGCCGCTGTGCGCCGTCGGAGCTTCTGATTGGAAGTTGAAGGCTGCAGTGAAGCCGTATCTGGGTCCGTGCGCAGCGGTCTGGTTGCTGCAGAAGGGGTTAAGCTATGCAATTAGAAAGACTTGGAAAGCCCAGGGTATGGGTCATAGGACATAAAGACTTAAGAAATAATGTAGCTGTGGTAGGACATTAAGATAAAAGTTAAATACACCTGAAGGTATATGGACTAAAATGGCATTACAACACTTGCAAAGACCTTTCATAGTTTGAATAGTGGTGGCACACACACACACTGACCCTCACTTATCCAGCCATAACATGGACATTTCCACCTCCGTCTCTCTGACACAGCTAGATTGCACTGTTTGAATCTGTGAGGGTGGAGGGGACGGCTGCTGCGTTCAGCTATTAAAAGGTCTATTTTTTCTTCACTTAGTTCACTAACAAACTCAGTAAGTCTTTTCTCTCTCTAGCTTTGACTAACGTTACAATCCAGATGTGCTGATAAAGGCTTCATTTCAATATGCTTTTCAAAATTAACTGTTTGTATCTGTTATTTTCTCAGGTGCGGATTGAGACAGCTACAACCCTGAAGCTCAATATCCTTCTTGTACTTATATTATTAGTTCTTAGGTACGCCAAAGCACATGAAGAATGTTTTAGTGAGTGTGCTGATGAAGCAGTTTGATTTCATCCTTAACTCATGATCACCCGTTGACGACTTTGAGTTCCGGACGGAGCAATTCCTCCCAGTGAGTACAACGTGGAAATTACTATGTATGCTTTTAATTCAGTGACAAGTAGGGTAAACACATCACAGTATTCAATGGACACATTTCCCCCTTTTTCCAACCCTTAAATTCTCCTTTCTTCGTTTAGTACCTGGAGTCTATCTTCGGGCTGCTCTTCCAGTTGTTGCAGCAGGTGACTGAGTGCGACACTAAGATGCAGGTGCTCCATGTCATCTCCTGTGTCATCGAGAGAGTTAACATCCAGGTGAGATTCGAGATATCAAAAATACAACTATTTGAAACCATTCGTTCCCTATAATTTCTTTACAACCATCGGTTGCAGTATGTGAAGTCAAGTTGAGTCAAACTCGCAGTGACCGAGCCCGTGTGTTGGTCTCAGGCAGCAGCTTCCGGGTCTGAAAAGGCAAGCCAATGCAGAAGTGCTGTAAACTTGCATTTGTTCTGCTGGCCAGCAGGGGGCGACTCCTCTAGTTGCTAAAGAAGTCTATGAGAAAATGACTGTCACTTGATTTATTACAGTCAACCAGTCTACATGTGCTTTGTGGACTTGGAGAAGGCTTTCGACCGGGTCCCTCGGGGGGTCTTGTGGGGGGTGCTGCGGGAGTATGGGGTGCCGGACCCGTTACAACGGGCGATCCGGTCTCTGTACGACTGCAGTAGGAGCTGTGTCCGCATTCTCGGCAATAAGTCAGACACGTTCCCGGTGGGTGTTGGCCTCCGCCAGGGCTGCCCTTTGTCACCGGTCCTGTTCATGATTTTCATGGACAGGATATCTAGGCGCAGCCTGGGGGCGGAGAACGTCAGTCTCGGGGGTCTCGGGATCGCTTCTCTGCTATTTGCAGATGATGTGGTCCTGTTAGCCTCCTCGGATCGTGACCTCCAGCAGTGTGAAGCGGCGGGGATGAGAGTTAGCACCTCCAAATCTGAGGCCATGGTTCTCTGCCGGAAACCGGTGGATTGCTCCCTCCAGGTGGGGACGGAGTGCCTACCTCAAGCGAAGGAGTTCAAGTATCTCGGGGTCTTGTTCACGAGTGAGGGTAAGATGGAGCGGGAGATCGACAGACGGATCGGTGCGGCTGCAGCAGTAAAGCAGGCGCTGCACCGGACCGTCTTGGTGAAGAGGGAGCTGAGCCGGAAGGCAAAGCTCTCAATTTACCACTCGGTCTACGTTCCTACCCTCACCTATGGTCACGAACTCTGGGTCGTGACCGGAAGGACAAGGTCGCGGCTACAAGCGGCCGAAATGAGTTTCCTCCGTAGGGTGGCCGGGCTCAGCCTTAGAGATAGGGTAAGGAGCTCGGTCATCAGGAGGGAGCTTGGAGTAGAGCCGCTACTCCTTCGCGTCGAAAGGAGTCAGCTGAGGTGGTTCGGGCATCTAATTAGGATGCCTCCTGGACGCCTCCCACTGGAGGTTTTCCAGGCACGTCCAACTGGGAAGAGACCCCGGGGAAGACCCAGAACACGCTGGAGGGATTACATCTCCCAGCTGGCCTGGGAACGCCTCGGGATCCCCCAGAATGAGCTGGAACATGTTGCCGGTGAGAGGGAGGTCTGGGTCGGCCTGCTTGACCTGCTGCCACCGCGACCCGACCCCGGATAAGCGGTGGAAAATGGATGGATGGATGGATGATTTATTACCTCAGTAAACATTATAATCATGAGTTAATGATCTCATTTAAAAGTGTCAATTCTTCTTCCATACAGCATGATGTTCATTATAGAGTAAAATAGACAATAAAACAGGGTGTGCTTTAGGGCGGGGCTACCTAGTGATTGACAGGTCGCTACCGCATCGTTGCCCGGTCTGGGAGTTGTCCGTGTTTTCATCTCACAACCCTTTGTGTTCAGTTCATGAAAGTTAATTATAACATTTTCATCGCCCCAAAATGTCTTTTTTTTTTTTTTTTTTTTTTTAGGGTTCAGTCGTGCTTAGCTCCACCCTCTCGTGTCACCTCTGGTTGCAAAAAGCCAAGATGGCGACATGACTCGAGGCTTCTAAAGAGCAGTCCACAAAGCAATGGGAGGCGTCACGGTGACTACCTCCCCTTCCTGTATACAGTCTATGGTTGGACATTTGGGGAGATATATTCTGCAGCTGCTTGGTGAAGAATCACACAAATTGTGGTCATTGATTTGCAATCTGCAGGGGACACGTGAAGCTGTAAAACAAACAAACCACAAGACTGATACAAACCATCCGTCATCCTGCCCAAGCCCCAGACCCCCAAAGATGAAATAATCCTCTGTCCTCAACAGTTAGCTAAACATTGATGATTTGTCACATCCTGAGACACCACAAGGCCTCAGGCAGCCCTTGTTCGGACGTGCGATCTCTCATTTACGGCGATGACACAGTCTCCCGTCTGCCACAGCAGTGCTTTTGTGGCCATATGGATTTTTATTATTTTCTGAGCATCCAATAAGTCGTTCTAATCCACTTAACGGCCAACCCTTAAACACTGACCTTCCTCTTGACCCCCCCAGGCTCTTTTCATATCCGTTTAAGCACCTTCTTTTAAACATTCCCTTGACTTGAATCTTTCACAGAAATGGCTTTTATCCTTGTGAACTGTCAGTCTGGTTAACTCGGCCTCACTCGTTTGGCCCTGGCTAACCTTCTAGAGACAGTGGAAGTTCCATTAATATTCTAACTCTTCTCACAAGGGACTTCAAACCCACAGAGAGTGGCGGCAGCTGTGAAAAGTAGACGACGAAACCACGAGTGCAGCTTGTGTTGAAATGAACATGACAGATATAATGAGATTTAGCTGCTTTCTCTGCTTTCAGTGTCACAGAAGTCATCCTAGGCTGATTTGTGCGTCTGTTTTTCTCCCTTTTTATCTTTCTCCTCAAGGCTGTATGTGATATTTCATTTTTACTGTTCCCTCTGCCCCGAGCCAACTCCTTTTTATAAGGTGTAATGGCGCAAAGAAATCCCAGTGTGGGGCCTGCCGCCCGGCCACATAGACGCTTCAGGCTATACGAAGGGATTGGCACGAGTCGGCACCAAAAAAAAGGGCAGAAAACTTTTTGAAGTGCGTTTTTCAGTCACTTGTTTTAAACACTTGAAACATCTGGGTGTAGAGACACCAAGTGGATGTCATCACCTGTGTGAATCTTCAAAATGTCACTGCACACTGTGTAATTCAGGTGCAGTTGTACATCAGAGTACAGCACCGAGGAAGACGTTTAGAAAGTAACTCAGGAAAGAGAGAAGAAGAATGCATCCAGCCCAGTTTTGTAATGGAGGTTGCTGTCGTATGGCGCATGGGCTCAGATAAGATGCGTTGGTATAAGATCAACTGTGGACATGGGCGTCACCTTTTTCTTGAAGCTGGTATATTTTTAAAATGCGTACTGAAGAATGATAATGTTACTTTACACACTTTTTATTTCTGATTGTTGTTGCTGTAGCTGTTCTACAAACACACACAATCGTGTGCAAGCTTTCACAGACTGTGTGGTTGAGGCATCAAGAGATCACTCAAAATATATTCTGTATTTTCAGCAGCCTGTCCAGTAGTTTCTTTTCACATCTGTTCCACTGAGGCATGTTTTGAAGCAGCTAATTTTGGTTGAGAGTGGCATAGGATAAGGGACTCTTAAAAAAACAAACATAGAAAGCTTTGTGGGGAAGCGTTACATTAACTGCTGTATACCGAATGTTACTACACTTTCAGGCCAAGTAAGCTTGCTCTGCTCGAGTCGTTTCTAGGTGTGTTCAGGCATCTGAGACTGGAACAATTCTCCCAAATATGACTTTTATCATCTGCATCATCCACAGTAGACTCGTAGTTAAATATTTGAACTGTGTTGGAAGATGCTGGCTTTAATCTCGCGGTGTGTGTTTTTGCTTCTTATTTTTCATTCCCCCTCTGTTTCAGATCCGGCCGTACGTAGGCTGTCTGGTGCAGTACCTGCCGCTGCTGTGGAAGCAATCCGAAGAGCACAACATGCTTCGGTGTGCGATCCTCACTACGCTCATCCACCTGGTCCAGGTATGGTGCACCCTCAACTTTCCACTGTTGGTGCATAACGTTAACGAAGGCACACAGACGCTCAGTGTTCATGCACTGAATCGTTCTAGTCTGCCAAGCAGAATCCACTGAGTGTGTTATGTCTATGCACCACCTGCAGGCAGTGAGCGTTACAGCTGCAGTGTTTCTCCTGTTCAGCAGTTAAGTGTGTGTGTGTGTGTGTGTGTGTGTGTGTGTGTGTGTGTGTGTGTG